CCCCTCCAGGTCGAAAAGGCCCCATCCACCACCACTCTCTGGGTGCGGCCCTCCAGCCAATTAGTGACCCATCTAGCTGTGTAGGCATTGACACCACAGTCACCTAATTTCTTAATGTGGATGGGGTGAGAGACAGTGTCGAAGGCCTTCCTAAAGTCCAGAAAGACTATGTTCACCGCGACACCTGTGTCCAAGGATTTTGTGACCTGGTCGTAGAAGGCCACCAGGTTGGTCTGACAGGACCTGCCTTGAATGAACCCGTGTTGGCTGTCCCTGAGCATGATCTCCCCTGTTTGCCCCTCGCAGATGTGCTCCTGGATAATTTTCTCAAAGAGCTTCCCCAGGACCAAAGTAAGATTAATAAGCCTGTAGTTCCCTCATCCTCCTTCTTCCCTTTTTTGAAAATGGGGACCACGTTGGCCCTTTTCCAGTCCTCTTGCACCTTACCAGAGCACCATGAGTGCTCGTAAAGCCGTGCCAGGGGTCCTGCAGTGACCTCTGCTAATTCCCTCAGCACCCTGGGGTGGAGATCGTCAGGACCTGCTGATTTGAACACATCCAGTCGCTCCAGAAGTTCTCTGACTAGGTCCTCTCTGACCCTAGGCCTGGGTGCACCTCCCCTGGGACCATCGGGGAGCCCTGTCCCTGCTCAAAAAGATGGAGGCAAAGAAATTATTAAAGAGGCTGGCTGACTTTGTCATCTGGTGTGACCACTAGATTTTCTAGTGTATCCTGCAGAGGCCCTACGTTACCTGGTACCTTCTTTTTACCCCCTGTGTATTTAAGAAAGGACTTCTTGTTATTCTTGATCCTGGTGGCTAATCCCAGTCCCTTCTCCGCCTTGGCCTTGCTGACAGCCCCCCTACAGCCCCGAGCAATGGAGGTATAGTCCTCCCTGGTGATGGCCCCTCCCTTCCACTGGGTGTATGCCTTCTTTTTGGCTTTGAGACGTTCCTGGATGCTTTTGGTGAGCCATGGGGGCTTTTGAGCACTCCTGACCCCTTTGATCCATGTGGGGATTGTCACCCGTTGTGCTTGGAGGATCATCTCCTTAAGGAACGACCACTCTTCCTGGACTCTCAACTCCCCACCCCTCCGGGACTTCAGTGCCTCCCCAATAGGCAGTTGTTACCGCTGATTGTTTTTCTCCAAGATGTGTTGGTAGTCCCACATCTTGCGTGTGAAGAGAAATACAGTATCTGAAGGTTTTACTTACACTATGTTGCATCCTATGCAGTTCACAACCTATTTTAGATGTAACCGAGCCTTGGATGACCGAAATGAGAGCAGGGTGGATGCAGGTCACAACAAAATGAGATCACGAGATATGTGCACTCCCTGTTATGTACGTCGGTGGAGGTGTTCTCACGATATTTATGCATTGTGGTTTGCTTTCTGAATGCCAAAGCACATTTAACAACAGAGTAGCACAGATGATGAGTACTGCAAACTTTGTACTAAGGGGTTTTGCGTGTTGCTGTCAGCAAATCCTGGAGCTTGCTAGTAACTGTCTCATTTTTATGCTGTCTGATTTATTCCTGAGGCTAAATTTAGATGACATCACAAACAAAAAGAGAGAACCCTTTTCACTATACTAGTTTTCTGATGATGATGAGTCAGTCAGTCCTGTGTAGTTGAGGATGGTTGACTTCCATGATTGTCTTATCTGTGGGTCTGAATCATAGAATCAGAAAATTCGGGTGGGAAGGGAGCTCAGGAGATCACATCTAGTCCAACCCCTCTTCAAAGCAGGGCCAGCCCCAACTACATCATCCCAGCCAGGGCTTTGTCAACCCTA